TCTGCAGATGAAATGAATGGATTGTGATAGAAAAAATATATATAGCTTTCAAAAAGGGGGGAATCAAGCTAGCTAATTGCCTTCTCTAGTGAATAAGAAAAATGTAATTAACAACTTGGCTAGCTAGAATGATGAAAAATAATATAAATTGTTCATATATTATTTATCTTCGAGTTGGTGGAGGAAAAATCTGAAAAGAAAACAACAAAAGGTGGATTAGATATGATTTTAATATTATGATGATGGTGGAAGACTTGGAAATTAACAAGAAGACCAGCACTGAAAAATACATATAAAACCAAATATTTGATTTACGTGCTAATTAAGGAGTGCAGCTGCAAAATATAGTTGATAGCTAGGTACATGTTGGGCAGGGGCAAGTACAATGCAAGCAGCTAGGCATTGCTTATATCCAAAGTCATGTTAAACGCACACAGAAAACTAGTAAACCTAATACTCACTCCACCTCCACACAAAAAAGACAAAGTGATTCCTTGCAACTAAGCATGCACCATCTCCATTTTACATTATAATTAACAAGCTGTACTGAGCATCTTCAATTTGTTCTTATTTCATAATTCCAATATTCCCGGTTGCATTATTCAACAATAGTTTATCACAGGAGAAGTATGCTGTGATTTCAAGCAAATTTTATTTATAATGTTTTATTTTTATAATTCTGACATTTTTATTTTGTAAAAGAATATATCTAATCTCTACTTGTATATACTATATACTCAAAATTATGTTAATAATTAATCATAACCCTATAATGTTCTTGGTTGTCCATGAAGCAACCGGCTTTGACGGCAAAGTACTAGTACAGTTTTTCTAACATCTGATTAAAGCAATAAATTTTTTTTAATAAATAACATTTTTATTAAATTATAATATTTGATATTATTAATATATTATATTTTATAATTTCAGTAAAAATTTATGTATTAGATTTTTTTATGATACATTTAAAAATTAAATATAAAGATTTGCATATAAATAATATTTCAAAACTACCAAAATAATTGTAAAAGCAATTAAAAAAAAAATATTATTATCTATACTAAAGAAGATTCTATTATACCATTGAACACGTAGATTGCTTATAATAATTTTTATTTAGCTCACTTTTAATGAAAGATAGACAAAAATGAAGTTTTATAATTAAGATATTAATATATAATTCATCCAAAAATAAATTAAAAAAATAAGACATGCAATCATTTGGAATTATATACTTGCTTATAAATGTCAACGACATCTAACTTCAAACGGTATTACATTATTTATTATTTTATACATTTTTATAAAAATGAAAAGGTTTGCGGTTTGAATTGTTACTTTATAACTTTTTATAAAGAAATTAAATAATTAAACTTCTTCTTTACCCGTATATAAATTTTAATTTTACGTATTTTCAGAAAAAAAAAATGTGAACATAAACAAGTGTAACTTTTTCTTTAAAAAAATATATCAGTGTTCAATTTTTGTTTGCCATTAAACTGTGAAAACATGTTTTCGCTTTAATTTACCTTAGGTCATAACTAATGTAGTTTTCTATCTGATTTTTTTTAAATCTTATTAATTGATTTTCTTCAGTTACCTGCTTCATATTACTGAAAAATGAGGGAATAAGTTTCAACTTTTGTATAGATTTTTCTAAGATAACACTCCTTAAGTCAGATAAAAACATATATAGCATTATGCTATTTATAGAATTCAAATATAAAAAATTTAAAAGGAGTAAATGACTTAAAAAAAAACATATATTAGATCTTTACAAACGAAGAACTATACTACCAAGTATATATATCGAAGGAATTTTATGTAAGTTTTGTTAGTTTATTTTTAAAATAGACAATAGTTGGGATAAACATATAATGCTACAAAATATATTATTACTTACGTTATTTTGAATTCCTTTTAAAATTTGCACCATTTAAAAAAAATTCAATAATTATTATTACCAAAAGTAATTTTATTTTTTCAAAGAATTAATGTAAAAAATATAATTTTATGAATTGAAGACGCGCATGGGCACACACATATCTCTTTAAGGAGCTGTATCTTCCGGTAGGCAAATCCACTATTGTATGACACAATTCTTAGATATTACAAAAGTTTAAATATGTTTTTGATATTTCAAAATACACCAATTTTTTATTTTAATTTTTTTAAAATTGTTAATTTTGTTTCTTTTCATTGATCTAATTTCATTGACACAAAAATTGACACATGATAACATGAGATAGTCACATCATCATTTAATATGATAAGATATTAAAATCAATAAATTTTAAAATGTGAAGAATAAAACAGAAAAAAGAATTTTATAAGGACCAAAATCAAAATTTGATGTACTTTTGAGAAATAAAAAATTATATTTATAACCCTATTACAAATTACAATAACATAAATTTTTTTTCCTTTAACAGTTTATTTTTTTTAAGATAATTAACTCAAGTTATAATAGTAGAATCTTTATTTTTTTTTCATTCTTTTAAACTTTAAAATATAAAAATGATAAAATTAAACAAGTAAAGCCACACTTGATACCAACCACTTAAGATCTAAAAAGAAAGAAAACGCTTAAGGTGATGGAAAGTTATCATTGATGAAAAGAGTGAATTAACTGATACTAACTTGAGCGATGTTACGTTGAAGATTCATTAAACTTAATTGATTAAGTGGGAAGTGGGAAAAGTGTAGAGTGAAGACAAGGGAAGTCACGGGTCGGCAAATCCTTTGTTTGAACGACAATGACTCAATGCCAACTCCTAAATTGCATTGTGTTAGGTTTACCGTTTACAAATAATATTTTCACTCTTTAACAGCGTGCATGCTTACCTTGTGAGAAAGCCTTTTCCCTATCTGACTTCAACATGCAAACCAATAACCAAAGCCAATACCCAAAAAGAAAGAACTAAAAAATTGCCTCTTGCTCAAGGTGCAATGGCCCGTGTACACTGTTAGCTCCCATTAGTGTAAGAATAACCAATATGTCACAACATATATGAATAAAGGTTTGATCAACCTGAGGCCATTGAATGGCCATGTGGCATGTTCATATGTGTTTCTACTTCCTAGAGTGAACATAATATATGCTTCCATTTATTGAGTTTAGGTGAAAAGATAGACTGTGATTTCACCCGGAGAAAGAAGGAGAGTTTTGTGGCTGAATTAATTTTAAAAACGAGTTTTTAAATGTTTTATTCTTTAGGGTTTAGTTAAAATAAATAAAAATAATATTTTTTTTATTAAAAACATAATATTGATTATAATTTAATTCATATTCTTAAGGTGATAAATATTTTTCTTTCAATAAAAGTTTGCTACTTTTAATTACTTATTTTAGCCTTAAGAGTTGAGGCTAATATTTTAAAAAAAATATATGACACAAATTTTTACAATTGTTAATGCACACTTAAAAAAATCACTATTTGCATTTTTACTTACTATGTGCGTTTGTATTTGTTGTATTTTAGGTGTGGCCTAACAGTTTAGGAAATAAAAACTTTATAAGAATTGATGTGATTGTACATTATGTGCAAATTTGTGATTGTAAAATTTAGCATCCATCACCAAGTCAGTCCAATCTTTAGTAGTAAATTTGAATTACAGGTTGTTAGTAATCTGCCCAATACCTACCTAATTGCAAGTTGCTTCCATTCTAAGTCCAACTTCCAACTAGAAAAGGTCTTCACTAACAAAGTAGTGATGGTTCATAATTAATAATGGAGAAAGGAGTTGAAGAAGCTTTCCAAAGCCACATGATTTCATTTTACTAACAGAAACATTCTTAAGCCGTAAGATCGATTGCTCTTTGGCATAAAAATGAATATTACACGCTGCGTCAACCAAAATTATGTTCACTCAAGTTATATTTCTTTCATCTCAACTTAAGTAATGATAAGCTGCATTTAACGGTGATATATATATAAAATAATATTTTTATACTAGTGTAAGTCTAAAAAATTTTATTCTTAATATGAATTTTTTTATTTAAGTTACATTTAACATATTATAATTTATTACTTCAATAATCATTAAATGTCTTTCACCTATTTCTCATAGTGTAAATCGATTCTTATTCTGACTCAGTTCCTGGTATTTTTACTGTTTGTAGATTATCAGAACACCGTGGCAAGAGTTTATATTCCAGTTAAATTGAGAGCAATTGCTCCTTTCTCCGATCATGTTTATGAAATATAATTATCAATATTTTTATTAAACATAAAAAATTAAAAATATTTTTAAATCTATTAATTGTTAATTTTTTTATACTTTTATTTGTTATAAAATTTACATTTAAAAAACACTCGGGTATATGACTCATTTAAATAAATATATTTATTCCGGTAAGATTTAACTACAATTCACCTTGACAAAAAAAAAATATAACTCACCAAATATCAACATTAGTATAGTACAAATTCGGCATGTCGAAATCTGTAAATTCAGCAGACAATTAGTAGAGGCAGGTGTGATTTTACAGACGCGCACTGCGGGCCATCTTTTCCGATGGTAGAGTTCTATTTGTTCTTCACCACCGAAATGCAAACAATGTTACAATTACAAGCCAAACAACTAAACGGAGTTACTGCCTTTATTTGTTTAATTTTTATTATGGCCTTATGACAAAAAAACATTTCACTTATGACAAAGAAAAGACATTTCACTTAATGGATCAAAAGAAATTCCTGATAGATGCTTAAATGCAACCACATTCACATGAAGTCATCTCATCCTGGATCCAAAACAAGCCGAAAAAGCTAATTGGTTTCTGCATCACATATTTTTGCAATTCACCCTACAACTTAATTTTTCTTCGTTCAAGAAAAAAACACTATATTTTTTTTCATCGTTTTTAGAATTTAATTTTCAAAAATATATTTATTACATTACAAAAATTAAATTTCAAAAATTCTTTGTAAATCACTTTTAAAATTAAATTTCTAGAAGTAATTTTCAGGAGTGACTTTCGAAATGTGTTGAGCATCTTTCAAAAATTAAAATTTGTAAGTGACAAGAAGTGCAAATAACAAAAACAAGTAGTACAAAAAAAATCCAACTGTGTCATCTTACTAACGTAGCATTCAAACTCAACACCCCACACCAGCTGCTTAACTGAGGGCGGAAATCCTGCACCCAACTGAACATATGAACGTTTAGACACAATAAACCAGCTGTTGCACTTGCACCATTATAGCTAAGCCAGCACACAAGTAATATCGAATATCAACGTAGGTCCTTTCACAAGCAGGCCACAAGGACCACAGGAATCAATTTTATTGAGTACACACTTGACCGCATGATAAATTTTATTGGGGAGTACACACTTGACCGCATGATGAATCTCTCTGGTAAGAACTAAAATGTTTTCACGATTCATTTGTGCACTCATCTTTAAAAGGACTCATAAGCTTCATAGTTTACATTAGTAACTGAAGGAAGCAGACAACAGTAGGCCATGCTTCACAAAACATGGGTAACCGAGGAAAGAAAACATGATATCAGATTCAGACAAAATAACATGACCACTGCAAAAACATTCGCCTGTATTTATACTGGAGTCAAACCAACCACACCTGCAAACATGCAAGCACAACAGACACGTTATTGTAGATGAGAAACACAAAAGTCTATGATTCAGTGATATTGGAGTATAAACATTAAACAGATTGCAGGCATATAAATCAGCTACAGGTTTGGAGATTTGGACTTAATAAGCTTGACAAAATCTTTCCAACTGGCAGGTGACCACCCGGCAGGGCAGGTTTAACCCTTTGTCTAAATGAACATTATGCTTATACAAGTTTCTAATAAACTCAACTACAATAACTTTTTTTCGGTAGTTGAAATTTGAAAAATTATTAACATACTTTTAGTTTATATAAAATAATAGGTTATATTTGCAATGATAACTATGCATAGCATACTATAATTTAAAATATTCATAATTCGGATCAAGGCTGGAGGGTAGGGAGTCTTGATCCCTATGGGCGCACCATGGGGTTGGCTTGACCTGCCTTTAGAGTCTATCCACCCCATTGCCAAGCATGCAACTGAACAGGATAATCAATGCCCTAAAGATGATAATCGGCAATTAGCGTTTCCAAAGCTTTGTTGCTCTAAATCTTATGTTTTGAGACAAATTGCAAGTTTAATTCATAGTTTATATCTATTAAAAAAGTTTATGTACACAAACTACTAATCTGTCAGAAAAGACAGAGTATTCAAGCTGGTAATTTCCTGTTTTTAATTTTAATGTAGGAAATAGAGACCATTTAACATGAAATTTGTCCAATTTAGTTTCCAGACAATATTTTATATCAAAGGAGGCAAAGAAATAGGACAACCCCACAGTTATATCATTGCATAGGTCTAAGCATATATACAAAGATTTTCTAGAACTCCAGTCACCATTTCTCACTATAAATCATGTGCATGAACTAACTTTTAGCAATATATGCATGTCCATAAATCATGTCTCATTTCAAATTGGTAGTAGATGATATGTATCTACTATAGATCAGGAACCAACTTACTTAGCATTTTAAATGCATAACTTTTAAAATTAGTATAGAGCACTTGAAAATCACAAAAAAACCGTGCATTATGTATTAATGCAGTTTGTGAGGAAATCATTGTACTTTTTATCAAGAATGAAAATTAATCACAAAATAACATGTAGTCATATCAGAATAGATAAATTGATAAATACAAAAAGTATAGAACTCTTTTCATACCACATGCTAATCTTCCACCAGCATTTCCAGTTGTCAAACTAAGTTCATGCCCACCTGTAAAAGTATAAGCAATGCAGATGAGACCAAAGTGAAAATACTCCAGTTATGATTAACACATCATACTTAAAACACAATGCTACAATTGGAATGTGAGACATAAAATGTAAGCAAGAGGACAAACAGCCAATTTCATGTTCGTGTCATTCCTCCAGTGAAAAGTACATATTCATCTACTATTAACTTGGGCAATATGAGTGCTGAAACTTGAGAGAGTAATTTCATCTACAGCACAGGATCCAAAGGCAAATATAAATAAGTAAATAAAATGAAATAGCTAACCCTTTCCAAGGTCATCCTCAAGCTCGTGAACCACTAAGGCTCTTCCAACTACAGAATTGGGGCCAGAGAGCGGTATCTGCATGTTTATGCCATACAACATGATTAGCTACTTTCAAAATGGAATTACTTTGTTCCCAAGAGACAAAAGGCTCAGAATTCAGACCCGTCTGCAGGCATAAGAAGCATAATTTGAAAAATATGTATCAAAAGAACAACCATTATGTTAAAATAAAAATAAAAGGAGCACCTGATTATCCACGATTGTAACCTCTGCAAGCCCTGTGATTCAAAACAAATGACAAAACTGAACATAAGCAGGTCCAGAAAGCAGTTCCCAATAGAGGGAGACAAAAGAAAACAAGTAATACCATCTGCATTAGCAACTATGTTTCCCAGGTCACCCGCATGACGGACTTCATCCTCAGGAGCACCATGTGTCAGGTTATTAGGATTAAAATGTGCTCCTAATTATATCATTCAAGAAGCAAACACTCATAACTTACTGAATCAAACCGAACTGCAGCGAAAAAATGAAAACAAAAATTGAGACATAGGTCAAGCTGCCCTGCTTACCCGTTGATATACACCCATTCGTGGTGTCACCATACTCATGCTGCAAAAAAATTGATCAAAGTGTCATGAAAACACAAACACACACAAAATAGCAGTAACAGATAATGATATGAAGTAAGAAGAGAAGAAAACACTAACAAGGTGAAAACCATGAAGCCCCGGAGTAAGACCAGTAACACGAACACTTACTGTAGTTGGGCCTACTCATCAAACAAAGAAACAACCACTCATCAAAATGCACTATCACTTTCACAGTTTGACATATCTACCAAATGCTAGTAGTAGCAGTAAGAAACTAACCAACCAATCTCAAAACTCAAATACATGGATAGAACTATCAAACTCAAAAGTTCATTTGAAGATTACGAACATGAAATTGCTTTATAATTGGGAGTGAATGAGAAGAGTAGGGAACAAACCATCGTCTTCTTGGATGAGTGTGGCGACGCCTTCGACGGCTGAGTTACCTTTGAGGACGACGACGGCTTTCTTAGTGGCGGCGACGACGGTGAGCGGTTTGGAATTGGGAGAAAGGGTCAAGAATTGGGGAGAGAGTTTGACGGAGACGCCGGAGAAGGATGATCGGAGAAGTGAATTAGGCTGAAGTGGTGACGGTGAAACCAGGGTGTGCGACGCCGTGGCGAGTTGCATTGTGACGGAGATAGTTAGTGGAAGGTGTTTGTGATAATGCAACAGAGAGTGAGAGAATGTGTGAGTCAATGGTTGGTTGGTGGCTAAAGCAAATTACTATATAATCTTTTCCACCATCCACTCACCACACTTCACTCACTCTCTCTAGACACCTCCTTTGTCTTGTTTTCATCTTTGGCTGTTCTCAATCTTAGATGGACACCTTTCAACATTTTTTTTAAAAATAACATGGGTCTTAGAATACGTAATAATTTTATTTTCATTGAAAATTATAATATTTAATATTATAAACATTTATGTGATCACCCTCAACAAAAATTTATATTATTAATTTAACTAATGAAAGTCGGCTAATAATAATGACCCACGTTGTTCTTTCTTCACGGTTGTGATCAAGCATTGGTATAGCGGTTTAGTTTTATATAGTGAAGAGTTTATTAGTGCATATTTAAATTAATTCATTTTTTCCATTAAAATTTTTATTAATGACCTTTTAAAAAAATAAATTGTAAAAAAATACTTTTTTTAAAATTCAACTTTATCTAAGATTAGTTTAATATCTTTAGAAACCCATATAATTAACTTGTATTGAATTTATTTTCTTAGCCTAAAAATTGAAGCTCGTCAAAATTAAAATAATCTTTTTTTAGAAGTTATATCTTGTATCTACATAAGTAGAACTTTTATTATAGGTTTAGCATGACTAAGATTAAAGAGAAAACATTACGTAATAAAATAATAAAAATTCTCATCCATTATATTTTATATACGTGGGATTAATCTATTTTACAAAAAAAAATTAAATTAAATTTTATTATGTACAAAAAGAAAATTCAAAGCCCCGAATCTTTTGTGTAAATATGAATCTCTGTATTTTGTACATTGTGTAGTCGTATGAATGAAACTTTGACGCTGAAGTTTCATATAAAATGTTGGACAAGAAAATTTTGCTTCTCAATTTGAAACTTTTAATGTGAGTAATGCAAAATATCACAAGGTTTGAATTCGATTTTTTTTTACCCTAAATGATCTTGTATTTTAAGTCAGCATCATCATCTATCAATTTTTAGAAAACATCCAATTACAAGTAAATTAGTGGAGAATTAGTCAAATATAACTTTATTTTGGCTTTAAAACTCAGACATTTGGCGGTACTGACATAGATTGTCGCATCAATTAGGATAATAACTTTTATTTATACACTTGGGATAGCAATTTTAACACAAGTCTTGCAAGGTGTAGCATTAATCTTATAATTTTAAGATCCGCTTATAGAGAGATAAGCATAAGCGCCAATATAAACATAAACAAATGTATGTCTTTGCGGGGGTTGATTAATCTTTGTAAACATCCTACTAATTGTTCTAAAAAAATGATACGTCTATTAACAGATGATAGCTCAAAATAGAGTTGAGTCAATGTTCATAGTTAACAAGTACCTAGTAGCGACATGTATATTACATAGTTTTATGTCTCATCATAATCGCTCTAATTAATGCAACCTTAATTAGATTACATTATACAGTTATAGTTTGAAAGGTCAAGCATGAAAAAAAGGTATGAATTCAAAGCCTTGGTTCATAAAAGCTCCAGTCACCCTTAGCTTCAAGTTGGGCAGGTTAATTTCTGGCTCAGAGCCTTTTGCCTGTGTTCAAGTTCAACACATCATTGACAAAATCAGTAAGCAAAAACCACAACTATACATAAAATGTTAGATTAGTTAACTATAAACGACAAGGAGAGAATAATTTACATTCAATGAAAATGTAAGTTGGAAACTATCACGAAGAGTGGCCAAATTTGAGTTCTGAACATTGAAGCCAGTCAGAGATTCAAGAGACCTGTACAATGAGGCTGCCACACCTTCTCCTTTACTGGATACTATTTTCACATAAAACCCTCTTTCATCCACTTGAAACATGTCCATCTACAAAGTAATATCCACATATGTTACAATAGCTTCCAGAGCCTAAATAAAACCTGCTTAAGGAGGGTCAACAAAAAAACCTGGATGATCTTCTTGCAGTTGCAGATTGAAAGGCTGTTGTTGGTGAATTGAAAGTTAATGGGATTTTCTCCTGATCCTTGATAATTTTTGGACATCAATAAGGATGTTTCAAGTCCTGCAATGATAGAGGCCTTATCCATCTGCCCATGTAATTATTAGTTATATACATCAGTTATATTTAACTTTCAAATGTAAAGCATGTAATAATTAATTCACTTATTATTAAGCCACCTATCAAGTTTGTTTTGTATGAAATTTACAAGGGCTAGCCTTCTCAACTATGAACCTTAACCTTTACAAAGATAAATTTTAAACGTTTTGCATTTTCAATGCAAAAGTTATCTTACATGGTGTGGAGAGGTTAATTTCTGTAACTAATATGAGATGTTTGTAGCTTCAAGAAACTAGTTATAAAGAAAATTTTGGGTAAGAAAAATACTTTTACATTGGCTCCAAACCTCCAACTCCAATGCTTCAAGACCCATCATTAAGCATTGAATTAAATGTTGATTAGAAAAATAATGACTTCAATAACAGTTTTACTAGCTTATATTAATCTAATTGTTTCTCTCCTAGGTAGTCTTATAATTTGCAATAGGGACATCTACCTTAGTTATGTTGGGAACCAAAGACCTCAATGTATAAAGCTTCTCCTTCATTCTCCCTCTTCTCCTCCTCTCAGAAATCAAAGTCATGGACCTATCAGTTTTTCTTCTTGGCTTAGTAGTAATACTCTTAGTTGCTGTTGTGGTGATTGTTATTGCAGAAGAATCCTCCATGTCATTTTCTTCTTCTCCTCCCTTGGCTTCCCCATCAAAACAAGAGAAGGAGCTAAGTGTAGTAGAGCTTGGATCATAAACATTAACAGAATCACTCTTGCACTGATCAAAAGGGATTGAAGGATATGAGAGGATGGAGTTGTCAATGAAGCAGTCATTGATAAGCTCGGAATTGAAGTTACAGATAGTATCATTGTTATCCCCACGAATCAAATTGATAAACTGATCTAAGTTGGGATCTTCCACAAAGTTGTGTAGCTCGAAGTCATTAATGTGCACCAGAGTCTCCTGATCAAAATCCATTTTGTCCATAGTTGACATATTTCATTAATATAGAGATGATGCGAGTACTGAATTATAAAACCATATGTTAAGGAAATGTTAAAGGCAGTTGTAAATGTAGTCACATATTTCATTTTCAATCATGCTGGTTAGCATAGCATTTGATATTGTTATTTTAATTTGGTTTCATGACTAGTATAATTAATTAAAAGTTGTGTTATAGCTTCTTCATTGGCATAATGGTCACTTTCTGATCATGCATGCACTTGTTTTCCTTCATACTGTGTGTGTGAATGGAATCCAATGGGAACATAATGACGCTATTCCTCACATATTTTAAATTACTGTGACATTGAAGATGTAATGTGGTATACCAACTCCAAAATGTCAAGTGTGAGAGTAAATAATTGCACACTGCATATTTATATACTGAACATAGCTCCTAATTATACAATGATCTTAAGTATATTATTCAAAGTGTAAAACAACTACGGTATTTGAGTGGCTCAAGAGATGTTCTAACATTATAAATTATACTTTTTACGATAAAACATAATTTAATTATATTATTAAAAGTTTTTTAAAATACAAGTTTAATTCAAGTTAACAATTCGGGTTTCAGGCTCGCCCTTATTTAGACCACAAATAGAAGTTAATTCGGTATGAATTTACATTTTATAATTTAACTAATCTAAACTTAATTTTCAAAAAAATCTGAGTGAGTTGGACCAAATAATTCAAATTTATGGCTTGAATTTAAAATTAAAAACTTAAACTTGATGTTTTATTAGGCTTTAATATGATCAGCCCAATCAGGAGCATGCAATATAGGAAATGGTAATTATTGTTCTATTTATACTAATTAGAATCAATAAAAACACAGGCAGCTGGTTTATTCTACACAAATAAAAAAAAAAAGCCCTAAATATTATCGAAGTTTCTATATTTCGTGTGACGTTGGGGGCGGCAGCATGATCATTGATCTCTTCGCTAAGGATTGGCTTGGATATTTAATTATGAACTAAAATATAATGAAATGGAATTGAATGGACCAAAACTATCATTTTCTTATTTTAATATTTTATAAAATTATGTTAATTTTATTATATCCCCAAATTGAGAGAACAAAAAAAGGATAGAGTGAGATAGAATGTATTTTATTAATTATTATTCTTTTTTATTAAAATTTTAACAATCTAAATAATAGCACATAATAAAATATCCCTTTATCTCACTCCCCTAATTGAGTCATCATTTCATTTTTGTTCATTATTTGGGCTACCCAATTGCGTCAATGGTACTATCCCAAAGAATAAAATTTAACTGGACCGTTATAGAACTGGGCTTTATCTTAATAGATAGAGTTAGACATTCTTTTTGGACCAAAGAAGTATATTTATTTTTATAACTAGAAATAAAAAAATAAAAAAAAAGGCCAGAGTGATTATTTAGTTCATTCAGATTTTAAAACAAATAAAATTTAATTACCAAAATTTTATTTATAGGAATTAAGCTTGTTTAATGTGTGCTTGAATTGAGTTTACAAACTTAATTTTACAAAATTAATTTTGATTAAAAAGTAAATTAATTTGATTTAGAAACAATTATTTAAAAAGTTGATAAAAATTATATATGTATACGTGTGTAATTTTATCTCTTAAGCTTTCTTTAAGTTATCTTTATTATAAGAAAATATAATAATTTCTCATCATATCATTATAATTATATAATCATAGATGATTAATTAGTTTTTTTCTCTCTTTCATTGTTTGCCTATGTATTTCATACAAAAAAATATATTACTTTTTCAAACTATAAAACAATAACCAACATAAAACAAATAATTTATAAGAAAAATGGCAGATGAACAACTTTTTACTATGCATTTATTATATGTTCATATCTCACGTTAGTTTCTTATAAAAATTAGAATAGTCTTCTTTCTATGAACAAACTTTTGAGAGTAAATTAAGCTAAAGTTTTTTAATATCATATCAAAGCCTATCCAATTTGAATATTAGATTACCCACAATATCTAGCTTTTGTTAAATTATTCTTGCATATGTCTAATCTTGCAAATTTGATACACTAGATATTTCATTTTAAATATAAAAAAAATATGTTAAAATGTTCCACATTAATAAAAATATAGTTAAATAATCTTTCTATTATGAGCTAATTTTTTAGTGTGGATTAAGTTTAAGTTTCTTAACATCATATGAATCTCAAATAATTCTCTTTATGAAAATTTAAAATGCATTCTACAACTGTTGTTATTCATTTTTCCCCTTTCTAATATTATTTTTCCTTCATGATTTATTATATCGTATGTCAATATTATTCTTCTTCTTTATTATTATTTTCAGACGTGTCTTATTATTCGTCTTAATCCTCTTTTGTCATCTTTTATACACCTTATCCACAAGTCTTATCCATTGCACTTTCTTCATTATATTGCATATGAAGATTTACCCTATTTTCTTCTTGGGTGCATGCATCTTTGCTTATTAAGCTTTATATTCAACCGTTATAATTTACAAAAGATCAAGTGATTGTATTGAAGTGATTTCTTACATATGATAAACAATTTTTATGGGACAAACTGAAATAATTTTTTATTATATAATACAAAAAAATTTATAATATACGTTAGCCCCCCATACATGTATCTAAGGGATGATGATGGTCCCCACCTTGTTACAAAATTGATTGGATAAGGAGAACGCACGCAATAACTTTGGAAAAGCAGAGAGATGGCCAGGCTTGCATTTTAATGCAGTCACAGTTTTGGACTTTTGTTTTATTTATTAAAATTAAATTTTATATATATCTTAATTATATTTAGTAACTTAAAATTAATTTTCTTTAATTTCAAATCAGTAAACACTAAAATCATGACTAACATATATAATACATGCTTGAAAATTTAATGAAACTACGTTAAATTATATTTCAACTTAGATATAATTTATAACATTGAAAACGTATACAAAGATGCCAATAGTCATAAAACTGGACTGGCAATAAAACTGTGTGCCAAAGACACACATACAGATACAGCTATGCCACCATCCACACTCCACACTACACATGAATCATGCATCCTTTTATTAAATAAGATAATTTCTTAAAAGAACAACATAATAATGATATCAATTTAATAATATGAATTCTAAGGTTTTGTCGGTATAAAAAAAGTTTATGTTAATATTTATTATCAAATTTATTGAATAAAATAACAATTAATTATGAATTAAAATTAAATTCTTAAAGCTTTTCCTTCTCCCACTGTATTTTTGTCCGAGTCCGGGTTTCACCTATCAATTCAAATATGTTAAAATTAGAAATAAATCTTTAGTGAAACGTCTTATACAATAAAGTCAAGCAATAATAATTATAATAATAACTTTGCATTTAATTTTAGAAACTTCAGCAAAATCTCGAATAATTGTAGTTTCCATTAATAGAATTAGAATCCATTATCGTTTCAATTCAACTTTCAAATGGGGTTATGACCTTAGCATAGATATTTTGATCCTTATTTAAATATCTCTAATCAGCTATGATCATGTAAGGCCTTGCGTGTTGCCGAGTCAGCATGTGTCGATAGAGACAAACGGTGTGTTATGGAATAATGGAAGTAATACTAAATATTTAAATAATATTAAATTGCCACTGTCGCTGTTCATATAAATACTCCTAAGCTTTCTTCTGCCACCCAAAACTCAGAGCAATCTAACAAGTGGGTTTTGTTAACACTTGCACACAACTTTATGGAAACAACGGCAGAGGTTGTTTCATCTCATTCTCTAGTATCAGAGTCCTCTTCTATGGAACTTGGAATTCAGAATTTTGGGTATGTCTTCATTTTTTAATTTGATCATTTTCAACTTTTTCGTTTCATGTATTTGAAAATTTTGTTGGGTTGGGAATCTTTTCACGTTTTTTATTAAAAAGTAGAAATTTTCTTACCATGGTTTTCCCATTTTGTGTTAGCTGCATGCATTACAAGAGGAGATGCAAGATAAGGGCGCCTTGTTGTGATGAGGTTTTTGATTGTAGGCATTGCCATAATGAAGCCAAGGTATAAAGTTATGTGTTTTTTTTTTTTTTTTTTTTTTTTCTGAGTTTCTTTGGTTTGTGAATGTTTCATGGTTGAGTTGAATTGTATTGGCAGAAAATTCAAACTTGTTGTTACCCATTTGATTTTATTTGAACAGAACTCTGAGGAGGTTAATTCTGCAGATCGTCATGATATCCCACGCCATGAAATTAAGAAGGTTCGTCTTTGTTTGCTTCCTATTACTACTCACTTCTTGAATTTCCATTGGGTGTTATACAGTATGATTCTTTTGATAACTGTTATCTTGCACCTTTGAGTAATTCATTTTCTTTGCATCAAAATAATAATCTCAAAAAGAAAAAGTTACTTACCATCATAGAATTCTCAGAGAATTGTCAGTTTTATACAAGGTAAGGTTGCAATTTCATTTGAGCTCTCTTCTATTTTTGGATTTGAGAGCAAAACAAAATCCTAATAATTATCAAAATTTTCTCACTAGTTTAAACCATATTTTGTTTATTTTCAGGTCATCTGCTCCTTATGTGATACCGAACAAGATGTGAGTTCTAAAAATCTGAAGTTTAACAATCAATATTAGGTATACATAAATATGCTTGCACCTATTGATCTGTTAATTGTTTCTCATTCCCTCAGGTTCAACAGTACTGCATAAATTGTGGAGTATGCTTGGGCAATTACTTTTGTGCTACATGCAAATTCTTCGATGATGATGTAATTCTCATGGAATAGTCTAATAGAAATTGAGCCAGGTTTCCTTCTTTTATTTTGGTGCAAGTGGTAATTGTGCATATCGTATTAAAAGTTGTTCAATTTTTCAGATTTCAAAGAACCAATACCATTGTGAGGAATGTGGCATCTGCAGGTAAAATTCTTCAATCAGTTTGCTGACTGCTATATATTTCACCTTCCGTATTGCTTAACAAAATTTGATCAATCATCTGTTCTATGTAATTGTTTTTACAGAATTGGAGGCAAGGATAACTTTTTCCATTGCAAAAGATGTGGTGAGTTTACTGTTCCAAATGCTTTGTTTCGTTTTTCTTGTACATTTTCACCACTGGTTGATTACTGAAATCTGCCAATGTTTGCTTTAGGATGTTGCTACTCCAAGGTAATGGAAACGGGGCATCGTTGTGTAGAAGGCGCAATGCATCACAATTGCCCTGTTTGCTTTGAGGTAAAACAAACCACTTGTGCTATTCTAGGCTGAAATTTGTCAAAGAAATCTTGTCTGATTCTCATTTACATAATTTCATCTTGCAGTATTTGTTTGATACAGTAAGAGATATTACCGTCTTACCTTGCGGGCATACTATACATTTAGAGTGTGTTGAAGAAATGGAACGACATCATAGGTAAGACATTTATATTTATATGTCACTAATGAAGAAATTAAAGTGTTATTCTGGTATACCTTATGGATCTAATCTTGCAATATTCTTATGCTATGCTGCCATGAGCCAGTGTTGTGTACCTCAGACAACCTTCAACATTAATTCATTGTTATTAATTCATCCTTTTAAACTGGATACAGGTACTCATGTCCTGTTTGCTCAAAATCCATCTGTGACATGTCAAGTTTGTGGAAGAAGCTTGACGAAGTGGTATGTAGATGCCATTTTGTTCCTTCTCCTTTTATAGATATCTTTAGAGTTTTGTTACTTTCAGTCTTTAAAACTGAGTTTAAGCATTCAAAAATAGTAAGTTTTTATTGAAAAAATCCCATTTATTACATTAGTTACAGAAGTGTGATAAATATATTTTTTATAATAAAATTTTACTATTACTAATTTCTTAGAGACCGAGGTTAGCATTTTTCATATTTTTATAAAGAGCTCATGATTACATCAATGTAATCCGTCTTCATATAATTATAACATTCTTGTATTAAAACTTTGGTCAGATTGCCTCAACACCAATGCCAGAAACTTACAAAAACAAGATGGTGAGTGACAACTCTAAAGCTTCTGACCTATGAATTAATTTTAACTTGTAAGTTGTAATGGCCCTCTAATTGAGTAATTGTATAAAATCAGGTATGGATACTTTGCAATGATTGTGGAGTAAACTCTCATGTACAATTCCACATTGTGGCCCATAAATGCTTAAGTTGCAACTCATACAATACTAGACAGATACAGGGAATACCTACTACATCATGCTCATCTAGGGTGACTGAAATGGTAAGATGAACATTGGGTTGCAGAAAGGTCTTGTCTTTCCTGAGGGATGGAAATAGCTCTTGTAGAGCTCAGTATCCAGTTTCTCAATTCTCCTTGTTAGTATTCTTTTGATGATATTGGAAGAGGGCTGAAAGCTTACACAAGAAAGTAGTCAAAAGTTCCACATTTTGTAAACAAAATTTTCCTTCTTTCTTGCAACGTTATTCTTTAGTTATTATCTTTTACTTTATTATCTTCCAAAGAAAAAAGGCTCACTTCAAAAATGTCTTTATGTATACTGACTCCATTTACAGCATTACCTTGACCAATGGCACCAAATGATAATGCAGCTTTAAATAATGTGTGCTAATATGCTGCTCCAAAATTACGGCATAACTAGATTTTTCTTACTAGTCGATTTCACCTAATAGATAAGAATTGTTGTAGGAGTTTCATTAACCCAAGTATGCATTCATAAAAAATAATAAATAAATGCAGTAAACTAAAATCACATTCAAGTGGTTAGATATTATGAGGGTAAAGTCGGTTCTGGCTGTGTTGAATTGGTGTCATGAACCTTTGCATTTTAAATTTTTCATTATCTGGAAGAAATCAAATTGATTCTATTAAGAATTTAAGATATAGTTGACGAGGGAAAGGATCTTTTCATTGCAATTTTCACATGACACAGGTTATGTGAATATAGAGATTATCAAAAATGTTAAATGCTTGAACCCAATTAAGGTATTTTTTTGTTATGACTTTTAAGTTTTGTTTTATGGGTCGTAAGAAATTTGAAATACAATAGTTCGTAGGCAAGGCCCAAAGGCATACTTACAATTCAGGGTGAAAAGAAAACAAATCCTGCAACAAAACTAACACTAATTTAATTAAGTGACCGTAAATTTAATCATAAAATTTTGTAAAATGAACTACAAAAATTATTTTAATAAATTATATTAAAATTTACTAAAATAAATTTAAAATAACTTCTAAGAGTCCGTAAGCTCTTTTAAACACTCGAAAAGTTGCAGCAGTCAAATCTCAGAATAGCTTTGTCGATGTCACCAAATAGTCCCAAATATTGCCCTGTAACGGGTTGCACTGGTCCATTTAAAAATCCACTTTGCTTGTTAATCAATTACAATGATTTTCTAGTTCAATCTACAAAGACATATCTGACCCCAAAAAAAATCCTGAAAGAGACATCCAATCCAACCAGCCCAAATTTTTTTTCTTTTTTCCCCTGTTTTTCAATTTTTATTATGGACCAAAAAGAAATTTATTTTTAAATATATTAACAAAATTATTTGGAATAACAATAAAATTTCAAACTAAATATTAAAAGGTCCAATAAAATCATAACATCCCGTATAAATTTATTACTATGCAACACCTGTGCAATGAAGATCCAAGAGCACCCAAAAGGAGAGAATATGATAGTGGGAGAAAAAGATTAAAAAGAGGAGATTGCAGAACAAACACTACTCCATGATAGGTAAATTGGCCTACTAGTCCTTTGCCTTGAGTGAAACTCAAGATTTGTTAAATGGCTAACTAATGATTTTCTGGGTCAAGATCTCAATAGCCAGACAAATGCATGAAAGGACTAACCCTGATATACCTTTCCAGACAAAAAGCTTTTAGACATCACCTTTATGCTTCTTTCCCTCAAGTTTGAAGCTATAGACAGAAGAGTATAGGGACCCATAAAACAAAACTATAGAAACCCAACTTTTGAATCCTTAAAGTAGTCTTACACGTGAGTCTATTCAAGTAGCCCATACATTTTTGGAACAAAATTGTCACATTAAGATACTTCTTGTCGTTTGGACTAATGCTTCTTACAAAAGTACCTTCAATCCCTTACATAGAAGTCCCAAGTTTAATAAAACATGCAATGCCAATGTAGAACCAACAAAATATAATCATGTTCTCAACTCCAATCACCACCCCTACTATCATTGCGCATAAGTTAATGGGGCCTATCGACTAGAAGCATTAAAATGTCAATTTGTCTATAGACATTTTGGTTTCCGAGAAAGAAAATCCCAGCTTTTGAAAACCTTGACTAGAAGCTCACTTTTTAGGCTTAAAAGGGTCCATAAAATTAGCTTTTTAACCAAACTTTAATTTATCTTTGACAATTACATTTGGTCATCCAAGATATATTATTTTGAGGTTAAGCATAAGCGCATCCAATGTCAAATTCAAAGTCACATGATTGACAATTGACAACATCAGCCAAGAGATGGGTTTGAAAATGACCCGCACTTTTATATTTTTTCTCTACACCTTTTGCCCTTGGAGGTGCAAGCTAGGTAGCAACCAATAATTTGAAGCATAAAAAAGCAAGGGTGCAAAAGGAAGATATTGTATCCGTAGTTACAGTAGAATGTGCAATCACTTCTTTCAAGATAGCAAGTCCCTCTCTCTAACCAGCACAATATATTTAACGAAATGGACCACTGGGACCACATCTGCACTATTAGCTACTCTTTGCTTTGAGTCAATCGTCCAAATATTTTCTCTCTATAGGCTTAAGAAAATGTCACACGGACCTACCAAGATATATACAATGATGTTGAATTCAAACTAAAACTGAAAAACCAGCAGTTTTTCTGTTGTCTAAAATCTTAAACTTGAATTTTCAAGAGCTGCTAGATGCTGTGTCACAAAATGGTTTAGACTGGATTATAACCCGAGCTCCTGAAGCAAGCCTGTTGAGTAAAAATCATTTTTTTTTTCCCAGTTTAGATTGCTGAAAGCTGTAAGAATATAATGATAATTTAAAAGGCCTTACAAAAAACAAGATAGAGTCAACACTTAACTTTCTTCAATTTTGATCACCTCCTCTTCTTCTTTAAATGAATCTATCCTCTTTGATTGCTTTTTCCCTGACAAAGATTCAGTGATTCTTTTGCTGCTACCATTAGATGTTACTGAGGAGATGCCTGAGCTATCAATTCTATCTGATGAGTTCCTTGGTCCATCAGAAACAGGGGATCTCATGGACTCACTTCGTGGATGCTTGGTCAATGAAGCCTTGATTGCTCGTGGAATGCATTTTGAATGTCCAGAGGATGATTCTTCTTTGTCTTCTCGTGGTTTCTGTTCTTTATATGTCCTGCACATTTGTGTATTGTGATGACTGATGACTACCATGTTCCTATCAGATGCCAATCAAAACAAATTACAAAACTCTAAAGCACGAATCCAAAAAGCCAACTACAATAGTTCTTGATCCTAAGTCATTTTCAGTAACATGTTATGAAGACAAGTCTCCAAATATGGAGCTATTTTGTAGAAAAGAAAGAGAATAAAAAGCAATGAAATTCACAATAATGTATGATAAAGGGGCTGCCTACTATTATTCCATAGATTCTCAGTCCAGTCTTTTTCTAATAGATGTTTCAATGATTCCCCAGCTTTGATTAAGACATTAAGTATTAGGTTGTGACTAGTTCATTTCTTGCCCAATCAAGAAAACAACTGCAAGTGTAACTCTTCCCTCACTAATTTGTAAGGTTGCAAGAGAAGATTTTTGAAAGCAAAACTTACCTCTCATCGTTGTAGGAAGAAGAGCGTTTCAGAACATTATGTCCATCTCCTTCCTTGAGTTTAGTCTCAACTAAGCTTCCACTAAAATATTCTTTGTCTTCCAATCTGAGGCTCATCAGCTTTGGATTCTCGGCCAAGCAATCAAACTCCCCCAACATAAAAGAAGTTGAGAACAATGGAGAAGGAAATTTCGAATTGGAAAACCTAGGTTTATAGGAAGGAATAAGGCCAAAACTGTGGTTTTTCACTGATATTGAGCCACATGAGATCAGTTGCATCAGCAAATTTGAAGCCTTCAGCCTTGTGTTGGTTGGCACACGCATGCTCTCCTCTTCCAGAATCCTAAAGCTGTTCACTTTGCTAGCATCAGCTCTAATCAGAGACTCCAAAGTTTCAGCCTTCCCGACAAAAGATGAGGAACTTGAAGTTGAGGGAGGAGGAGAAACAGTATCCCTACAGATTTCTGGATTATCCTTCACTCGTGGAGCTTCAGTTTGACAAATTTCATGGCATTCAGATTCTAATGATCCATCCTCTGTTGACACACCCCTTGTACAAGTTTTTTGAGTTTTGGGTCTCTTAACATTTTCTTCAGTCTGAGTTGACGCATCTGCCAATCCGTCCGTTTTATAAATTTTATACTCTGTCAATGCCAAGCTTAGAGGGTCGCTCTTTCCAGCTCTAGACTCCGGAGAAACATCAGAGGAACCAGTATGTGGTTCTTGGGAAAGCTCATCATCTTGGGAGTGTCTTGTCTCTTTCCCATTCATGCTAGAAGAGGAAGAGGCTTCGTCATGGCTCCTACAAGAAGCTGGTCCTGGCAACAGCTTCACATTCTGTATTTTAACATTGCCAATGGGACTGAAACGATCTGTAAAGAAAAATCCAATAAGACTAAGGTTGCAGGCATTCTATGTCATTCAAGACCTGGAAAATTACTATTTGTTGAAGATATTTACCTGAATTGGATTCATCAAAGAGCTCAGAACCTTTGAGAACATATTCGTTTCCATGGGCCGGTAGAATTAAATCATCTTCGCAGAGATCATGCCATACAAATCCATTCTTGTAGCTTCTGAATTACAAGAACAAACACCAATGGTGAAAACTATATGCATTAATTCGACCAAGTCTTCAACAACCCAACACAGAACAATCTCAATTGCTTCACCCGACAAGGTAAATCTTATGCTGCCTTGACTTTACTAAAATTTTAAAGGAAAACATGAAGCAAATATAAAGGCAAAAATCAATCAAATCTCATATTTTTTGTCGCTTTCCCTCAACATACAAATTGAACACGAGAACATAGAAAATGCAAAAGCTTTCTCACCTCTTGCAAGACCATGAATACAAGGAAGCCATGCCTCTACCTCTCAATGCGTTTAGTCTATCAATCACATCTACACACAAAGCAATCGCTCAAAATCCACAATCCACAAACGGGTAAAAAACAACCACATTTCAAAAAAAAAAAAAAGTACTAGTGTTCCATTTTGTACCTCTCAAGTATAGTCCATCAGGGGACGAAAGTGGGACCTCCATGAAATGAGGGTGCTCTAGTTGCCTATTTCGACAGAGATAGTAAATCACAGGTACCTTCAAACTCTGATGGTATTTTGGGGACTTCTCAGTCCACACTTTGGCCCTCTCAGGACTCACTTGCCGATACTTCTTCATCCGCGCTTCCATTCTCACATGCACAACACCAACCCCACCAACTACACACCGCTAAAAATTGAACCTTTCTCGAGTCCTTAACTCCAAAACCCTGTCAAAGAGAACCCCATTTTCTCATTAGCTTCATTCAGTGCAAAATGTAACTGGTTATGGTGGATGTTTTCTGCCACCATCACAGAGACTGCCCAAAATCAGATCTAACTAGCTAGTAAATAGTAATACCAATATGCAAGTAAAAGCTGGAATCTTTAACAACATAAATAGAAAAAATTCACAGATACCTTGAAAGAAAAGAGGGAAGAGAATTAGAAGCGGAGAGAGGAATGAGGAACGTGTCATATTGGTGAAGTGGAAATGAGAGGGTTTCCACAATTGAAGCGTTGGGAAAGACAGAGATAGTGAGAGTAGAAGAGTTGGGTTTTTGGCGGATTTGATGGAATTGTTTGATGTTGTTGAGAGTTCGGATGTGTCTGTGTTCGGTCGTCTGACTTTGTTGTTCTTTCCACCTTTTATAATACTAATTTTCGTCTTCTGTTCTGTCCTTTCCCCCAACTACCATATTTGCCCTTCATATCGTGCGCGGTAAATTTCAAAGATTAAATCACATCCTGCAATTTTCTTAACATCATCCACGGTATATTAAATTATATATATTTTCTTTCATATTAACATTGTAAATGTCAACTACCATGTATTGGCCCTGAATACGAATTAACGACAGCATTTTTTAAAGTTTTACTTTTTATACTATGTTCTTTTTATTATTATTAATTATAATATTTTAAAAAATTATTAAATTTAAAATAATCATCTGATACATTTTAAATTATGTATTAATAAGTTTATTTTAATACAATAGTATTTATGTGTACGAAAAAAATATTAATTTAAGTATAAGATATTTTTTTTATGTTTGTCTACTAAAATTTTATTAAAAATTATAAAATGTTATAAAATTATTAACATTAATAACATTAAATATTATATTTAAAAAATATCATTTCTTTAAATTTTTATTATGTATTATTAGACACACGGTAAAAAAATATAAAATAAATCTTTCTGTAAAAAATTTATTAAATGAATATTTAATTAAGTTGTAATTTTAAATATATCTATGATATTTTTATTATACTACAAGAACTTGTAAATTCAATTAAATTTGTTGAAATGAGTTTTTTAAAATATTTTTATAAGTTTAAAAATATTTTAAAAAAATGAGAATCATGAGTTTTCTTTTAAATTTTTTAAAAGTATATAGAGTTTCACCCCTTTATATCATTATTTTTGGATGAAAATTAATTATTTATTATATCTGATAAAGAAGTTGAATTTTAAGAAAAATCTTCAAATTATGTCTTCAATTCAAAATTCATTTTTTTCTCTTTTTTTTTTCATCCAAGCATAGCGTATTCTTCAAGTACAAAAAAATTATATCATGTTATGAATTGTATGAAAATACTAAATATTTTTATGGGTGATTGATATTAACAATTTGTATATATAATATACAACTTGTGATATTGTCCATTGGTCTTTATATGATATCTCAGTTTTCTATCGTCGGTGTTCAAATATGATTAAAAACTAGTAAATTTGGATATCTGTGAATCTAAATAATGCATGTAAGTAGTGTTACCCATGTTCAAGAGTGCATTTATAATCGTGACAATCATTTGTAAATTATATTATTTCAAACTGAATAATTAATTGTAATGATACTTAAAAGCCATATCAACACTGTATAACTTCAGTTAGTATGACTTAAAAAAACAAAAAAAAAAAAAGCCTATTACAATATCTAAGTTTTTCACTGCAAAAGCATCTTTTGTCATTTTGAAGAGAGAAAAATCAATTACCTTCAACGAAGCATGGCCAAATGTTATGGAAGTAGTTTATTCTTGAAATTAATGATTTTGGAAGTGAATGTTTTGAAAGCACGAAGCAAGAATGATAAGGAACTATATATGATGCAGACATGTGTATATAGATTTCTAGATCATTACAATTTATAAGCAATGATCTGAAGACCATAACACGGTTTCTTTCTCGCTTTTGACACTGGCCGACCTTTCAACAAGGCCAACTCATACTTGCAAGTAGGAATTCATTTATAATGTAAAACATGTTCATTTCACTTATATTTTACTCTAATTTTTTAATTCCACTTTATAAATAAGAATACTAAAGCAAATGATATTTTATAAAGTGTATGACTAGTAAAAGAAATGATAAAGTTTGGAGAGAAAATATTATTACACTTAAATTTTCAAAGATTAAAATAGCAAAGTTAGTCTTACCTTCACACAGATTTTAAATTATAAGAACAACTTGTTCACCTTTTTATTTCACTTTGCACGCAATTTCTCCGCGAGGCAATTGGTTTCACTTCCTTCACCTACTTTGATCCACGTTTCTTAAATTTTCAATGGTGCGCAATGAAAGATATTAAAAACATCTCTAAAAGTTAGGCTCTGAAAACCAACGTTAACTCCTCAAATCTCAATATCTAAATCGTACATTTATTTGGTTGAGGACCCTTAAACAAGTTGTTAAATGGTGTTGAAGCCAAACAACAAGAAGCAAAATGGATTTGGTCAAAATGAATATAATGGGTGTGACTTATTTTCCACTAGTGATTTAGCTGCTTCACCTAGCTGTCATCTTCCCGAGGTAGGTTCACTCTAATGTATATGCTATGAGTAATCAATTGAAAAAGGTTCAAAAGGGAAATGAGAATGAGTGAGCATGCGTCAAACATGCTTATTGCCCAGAAGATAAGATCAAAAAATGTTTGGCATTGCAATCAGTTCATAGTATCTGTTTGATAGACATTCTCCATCATGAAAAGAAGATTAGGGAAAACTCTAAACAAGCATGAACGTATCTTAATTGTACTAGTGTACGAGTACGTTCACTTATTAATTTATTTGTCTAAAAGTAAGATTAATTATAAACCAACGGATTAGAGAAAAAAATTGTGCATTCTTGTGATCCTTTTTGGAATTTAACAACAATTATGAATCACTTATTCACTTATCACCTGCCTAATGCATATTACATCGTGTAATTATATAACAACCATTGAAAAATATGTATACTTTAGTGGAAATAGCATTGATAATTAACCAGCTAATTAAGTGTTGCGTGTCTGAAAATGATGTGCAAAAAAAGGGTCAGTCATAATAATTTTACATGGGTGAACTATGTTGTTATCATGTATGACATTACCACAGTTGTTAATCTGTACTCAGCTAAACACCTCTTGCATTCACATTCATTCAGGTTAATCTACCTTCATAAGAACATGAATGGTGTGTTTTTATTAATGACTAACTACAAACTTGTCTAATGTCATCATGAATTGAAATGAAGTCAGGTTAAAATAAAGAGGACACAAATCTTATAATAAAAGAATCGAAGCTTAACTGAGGCCCACAAATCAATTCAAGCAATTATTCTCTTCTAGTAGCCTACTTTTCTTACGAGGCATATGCCATTGGCCATAACCACATCATTTATAAGGTTAAAGGAAAAAAAAATTGTTTTTATTTCAGCACTCAGCATCCTATATATAGGCTCTAGTCATTATATCCCACTACATGTATATATACTTGTTTCAATTATACACAATGGGCAAAAACACTTGAAGGGAATGTGTCCATCATAACTAGCAACTGTCATGATCAAGGCAATGGAAAAAAAGGGGGGGACAAGTGTGGGAGAGAGACAGAAACCGGAGTGTTAAAAAGTTTATATTTCTAATAATACAAGGTAAATTGTATATTATTTATAATATTTACATATGTTATTTATATATGTATAGAATTAATACAAATGATCTATTTTTCATAAGTTATTTTATACTGCTAATAGAGAGTATCATGAGCTTGGTAAGTGGAAATTGAATTTAGGTTTATTAAAAAAAAAATAATAAATTAATAAGTTTAAAATAGAAAGTGTGGTTTTGGTATTTGAAGAAGATCATGATATTAAAGGTTTTCAAAGACCATTCAACAAAAGTTATATGCCACGTTTATATTGTAAAATTTGATGGATTCAGGTATTTTTGAAACTTTCTTTTGTCTTTAGTAGCCTAGCCTAATGCCAATTTAATTTTATAGAGTTCTATTAGGATTGCTTGAATTCCCATTAAGAAGCACTCAGAGTGAAGATACTTCCTTTTTGCAAAGACAAAAGTAATTGTTATAACAATTTGATGAGATATCGACAAATAATTTTATAGGAATGTAGAAAATTTATTTATTTATTTGTTTAGAGACATATAATAAAAACTTATACATAATAATTTTTATTAAAAATAATAAAATATGACATACTTAATGTATAAATAACATTACATGCTAATTTTTAATAAAAAAAATTGTTTTTTTAATAAATTTTTTAACATACATCTTTAAACACATGTTAAAAAAATAAGAAATTATTAAAAAAGATTGACTTATTTGTCAAGCGATCATGAAACTCATAAAGTGCTTTAGAGTATCCATTATATTGGGAGTTCATGAGCAAGCAGCAGAAGTGTTATGATATTTATGAGTCTTTTATATTTCGAACAAAATTGATGCGTCTAAAAGAAAGAGTTACGCACATTTATACCACTTATCCAAGATTGCCCAGCTGGCTGCCTTTGAGTTGAAGTAGTCTCACATCTATTTCAACCACCTGATGGGTGCAATTATGCACCCAAGTGTTGCGTAATTATTATTTTTTAAATCAAAAATGTTTTTTTTGGTCCATTAACTTGTTAATAGGTTGGGCCTCCGTGTTAATAACCTGTTATCCAGTTGGTATGTTGGGCCTTGGGCCCCCATGTTTTTGTTATGGAAGCGCTGAGGTTAGTGGATAATGGAAGTGAGAAGAATTTACGAGTTTCATTTTTCAACGGTAACGATCATCTTCCGCCGACGAAGCTTTGGCAGAGTTCCAATTCCGAAATAATCTTCCCGCCATTTTTTATTACTTTCCCAGCACTGCATTTCTCTCTTCGACTTTTCAGTTAGTTAATGCTCCCACTGCATCTACGACCATGCTTCTCTCTTCCCTTCTTTCGCCCCATCACAGTTATTAGGGTTTCCTCTCTCTTCTCTCTTTCTCTCTGTTTCACCCCTCACCGCGCCATGTCCAAACCACCCTCTGCTTTCGACGCTCTCATGTCCGGCGCACGCGCCGCCGCCAAGAAAAAATCCCCACAACAACCACAACCACCTTCCTCATCCCCTAAGAAAAGAAAATCTCCACACTCCACTTCTACTCAAAACCCTAACAGCCTCAAAACCCCCCTTTCTTCTTCCCCCATTGAAACCGTTCAACAACCTAACAAACAGCATGAAACCGCCGAGCCGGAACACAAGATTCGCCACGTGTCATCTTCTCAGGAGATTGTCGCGGAGCTGAAGAAACGAGTTCCGCAGCTGAAGAAGAAGCCTTCGGAGTTCGATCCAGCTTCGGTGGCTTGCTGGGAGAAGGAGAAACCTGTGCCGTTTCTCTTCCTCTGCTTGGCCTTTGACATGATTGCTGAGGAAACAGGAAGGATTGTTATCACTGACATTGTTTGCAATCTGTTGAGGACCGTCATACATGCCACGCCGGAGGACCTCGTTCCCGTCGTTTACCTATCCGCCAATCGCATTGCTCCGGCGCATGAAGGGCTGGAATTGGGAATTGGCGATGCCTCTATTATCAAGGCGCTCGCCGAGGCGTGTGGAAGGACTGAGTCGCAGATTAAGAATCAGTATAAGGTGATTGATTACTTTATATCTTCTTGTGTTCTTATTGTTGATGTGAATTTGACTGAAGAAGATTTTTGTTGTTGGCAGGAAAAGGGTGATTTAGGGTTAGTGGCCAAAGCGAGCCGTTCCTCTCAGTCTATGATGCGTAAGCCTGATGCATTGACTATTAGGAAGGTTTTCAACACTTTCCGCCTTATTGCCAAGGTATGTTATAGTCATTATTAGGGTTATTCACTTTTTTGCATTACTCAATCCTGTCCATTCTGCCTCAAGCTTGTGGTTTGTTTGTTGTTTTAAATATTAGTGTTTAGTATTGTCCGGAGAAGTTTAATCTACCGATGCATAGGGTAGAACTTAAAATTGTTGTATCACAGGATATTAATTTTCTATCCATATATCTTTTACTGAAAGCTATGGCTTACGAAAAGTTGTGTTATATGTTTGTTGTGATCTTTAAATTCCTAGTTCGCTATTTGGTGGGTATGTTGGATTTTAGTATGCATGGTCTGTGTCCTGTAAGAGAAGGAAAGAGGATTTTGTTTGGATTTACCATTTTTTTGTTCAGTGTTGAATGTTGCTAAATTTTGCTTTTACTTTGATTTTTGAGACAACTTTTTGTTGAGAGCTGAATGTTTAGTTGTTTACTTTGTCTTAATTTCAAAATGTGTACAGGAATCTGGAAAAGATAGTCAAGAGAAGAAAAAGAATCATATCAAGGCACTTCTTGTGGCTGCAACTGACTGTGAACCTCAGTATCTAATCCGTTTGCTACAGGTTGAAACTGTACTTTTTTATTAAATTGTTCTGGTGGGCTTACTTCTTCATCTTAGTGACTTCTTGCTTTTGTTTTCTAGACAAAGTTGCGAATTGGGTATGCTGAGCAAACTCTCTTAGCTGCATTAGGCCAAGCTGCAGTATACACTGAAGAACACTCTAAACCACCTCCTGGAATTCAGTCTCCCTTAGAAGAGGTAAGCCAATCTGATTGAGAGTGGGAAATATGGTGTAGAGAGTGAATTGGTTTAAATGTCTTAGTTTTGTAAGGCTAGGGCAAATAGCAACATGTGCTTTGGGTTTTAAACATTTGAAGTGCATTGGCACTAGTTGGGGATGGGGGGTTGCTGCTGAAATGGATATTAGTGATTTTTGGTGAAGATACCTATCTTTTTCCTGTTTATTCTGCATTTTAGGAAATTTTAGGCTGTAATAGTCCATTGAATTTCCTTTCCTATTAGATTTTTCAATTTCTGGTTTAATTTTGCATCAGGCTTCAAAAATTGTCAAACAAGTGTATTCTGTTCTTCCTGACTATGACAAAATAGTATCTGCACTGCTTACGGATGGTCTATGGATGCTTCCAAAGACATGTAATTTTACTCCTGGTGTTCCAGTTGGACCTATGCTGTCAAAAGCAACAAAAGGGGTATCTGAAGTTCTAAATAAATTCCAGGATGTGGAGTTTACCTGTGAATACAAATATGATGGAGAGCGTGCCCAGGTGATTCTTTTTGGTCAAGTTTTCCATCAGAATTATAGTGCTTATAATACTTATCATGTGCACTAAGATTAGCTGTATTGAGACAGATACATTACATGGAGAATGGCTCAGTTGAGATTTACAGCAGAAATGCAGAACGAAACACAGGGAAGTTTCCTGATGTTGTTGCTGCAATTTCAAGGTGAAAAACATATTAATATTGTATTTGGGGTCTGGTTGACTTTTTTGGGTTGTTTATGGACACGTAAATGAATTAACACCATAAAGCTGCATTTAACAAAGCAAACACACTTAATGACTGGTGATTATTTGAGATAAATACATTAGTCGCTTCCCGGTAAAACTTTCAACTGCATATTTTCTGATATTCGCTGTCAATGAACAGGTTAAAGAAAACAACTGTATCATCATTTGTTCTTGATTGTGAACTTGTTGCGTATGATCGGGCAAAACAGAAGATCCTTCCTTTCCAGGTAATCTGTGTGCTGTTTTTTTTTTTTGTGGGTGTCAATACATCATTTAATGGTAGTGTAGAAACCTTTTATACAAGCAATTGATCAAAATAAGTCCTTTCATATATTATGCTTCTGTTTTTTTACTTATCTTGGTGATACAACTTTTCAATTTCTCATATTGTGGGGGAGTTGAGATTAGACATATGACTTGAAAGACAATTTTTTTAACTGATACATAGGAGCTCCTCTCCTACAGAAGAGTTGGGATGTGAATCAGAGGTAGTTATCGCTTATCTATATCCCTTCAAAATAGAAATTACCTTTGCCTTGTTACTATTTACTTGTATCTGCATTTATGCTATCCGAAGTCGTATTATCCAGGACTTAGAATTTAAAATCTCCTTTGACTCTTTCAAGAGTATGCTTATGTTTGTGTTTAGCCTTCATGATCTAATATCTTGACAGGTGCTTAGCACTCGGGCTCGGAAAAATGTATCTATGAGTGATATAAAGGTTGATGTTTGCGTATTTGCTTTTGATTTGTTGTATCTTAATGGCCAAGCACTTCTTCAGGAAAACCTGAAAGTCCGTAGAGAGGTACAACTTTTTATCTTTTCTCTGCCAATAGTTTCATTATATTGTTTTCCTTATTAAGTAGCTAAGTCCTTGATAGGGAGAGCCAAGTGTCGAAAACCGAAAATCTGATTCATTTTTTAAGAATTTTTTTTTTTAAGATGTACATCCACAGAACTATGAGAGGTGTGCTGATTGTTGGTTTGGGGTTAGCATCCTGCCTTGGGGAGGTCTAGGTGGATTGTTGTAAGATTTCACTGTGGTGCTTGGCTAGGACACTTTGGTAGAAATTGTGCATTGACGAACAATCTATGTTGCATAGATATAAGTACAACAACAGTAAAATATTATTTTATTTATGAATATCATATTGATAATCTAGAACAAATTTTAGTCAAATAAAAACTTTACGAAAATAGAAATCTAAAAGAATAAGAAAATATTCTAAAAAATATTAAAAATATCACATTAATAATTAAATAATATAATTATTATAAATAGTTATTCCTAAGTCAAAAAAAATATTTTTTTAAGTTTTTAAAAAAATAAGATTAAAATGCTTACTTAAAAATTAAAATATCTAAATAAGTTAAAAAATACCAATTAGGTCATATTTGGGTGATAACATTTTTGAATCGTTTCCAAATGCTCTTTCACAAAGGTTGAAATCCAGAAGCAAGTGTGGTACACAGTTGATACAAATGGAAGTATGCTGTATGCGTATCAGTATTGGATATGGATACGACACACATGATGATTTTTCAAGTATCCCTGCAACATAGATAACAATTATGGCTTTTAACTCAATAGTAAGCAATTGATTGAGTAGGTGCTGTCAAACCAAGTTTAGGAGTTATATTTCTGGAAGGTTGATTGTGTGAGGCAGGAGGAGTAAATTTTATTGCAAGCTTGTTGGCTTTGGGCCAGCAAATTGTGTGGGCAAGACCTTTGTGGTTGGAGTTTAATTGAATTGTGTTGCTTGGGTTGGTGCAGTTAAGCTGAAAAGGTTGAGCAATGTCTGATAGTAGCTGTAGCCTATGGCCTTCTGGTTAGTGGTCAATCCAATATTTCAATTGGAAATTGGGGAACTCAGGAGATCAGGTTTTTAAAATTTCAGTTTGGTAGGGAGGCCATATTGAACGTCTTTTATACTGTTTATCAAATGTTAATTTTCAAAAATGATTGTATGTTGAGTTTCTGAATTGTCATTTCCCATAAGTATCGACTTTATATAAATAAGAACCATATGTTGATGGGTGCCTACTTTCCTCACTGCAGCATCTCTATGCCTCTTTTGCGGAAGAATCTGGATTTCTTCAGTTTGCAACATCAATAACATCAAATGATGTCGAGGAAGTACAAAAATTTCTTGACAAAGCTGTTGATGCAAGGTCCACTGATTCTTCTACTTAATTTAAATTTATGTGGATTTCATTGTTTTGAGTTAAGATTATATACATTATTTCAGCATAGTTCATTATACTTTTTATTTTAATGTGATTGCCTTCTTAGTAAAAACATTTGATAGGCATTGAAAGACATCATTAGACTACTTAATTGTTTGTCTACCACTCAGTTCTTCAAACTGTGTTTTTTCTTGCAATAATTTGATCAAGAATGTTTGCCATTGATATTTTACTTGTCTCTTGATATGTAGTTGTGAGGGATTAATTATTAAGACATTAAATGAAGATGCTACATATGAACCTTCCAAGAGGTCACTCAACTGGCTAAAACTGAAGAAAGATTATATGGAAAAGTAAGGATGTAATGTTCATTATTCTTAATTCTTTTCTTATCATAATGTATTTCTATTTATTCATTGGCTCTAATTTGCAGTATAGGGGACTCACTAGATTTGGTACCTATTGCTGCTTTCCATGGTCGTGGGAAACGTACAGGTGATTATGAAGTGTATTCTTTAATGTGGCAATGCCTATGTTTATTACTTATCTTTCTTATCGTCATGTGGGAATAAGGCTAAGCCCCTGGGATTTTATTTATTTATATACTTCTATTATTAGCCCTTGGCTCAAAGAGTTTTGAAATGAAAGTGGCATGTCTTGTAGGGGTCTATGGTGCCTTCCTCCTTGCTTGCTATGACAGCAATAATGAAGAATTTCAAAGTATTTGTAAGATAGGTAAGTGTTTTCATGTTAAGTCACCACTGAGTTCATTTGTTTATTAAGCTTAATTCTTTCTTGCAATCTTCATGTTATGGTGAGTAGGAACGGGATTCTCTGAAGAAATGCTCGAAGAACGTTCTACTAGTCTTCAATCTAAAGTGATTCCCAAGCCAAAGGTCCCGGCCTCTTGTTTCACTCTAAACCTCTTTTCAGTTCTGCTCAGTATATTATGAACTAATTTAAACATGCTCTTTGATTTCAGGCATACTATCGATATGCAGAAACAATCAATCCTGATGTCTGGTTTGAAGCCAGTGAGGTAAGAAATATCTTTACTTGGCAATTTCATTATTTTCTTTTCCACTTATGTCCTTTAGTGTACTATGATTAGTGTGTTGTCTTTACCTGCCTCTTACTGTTCCCGAGTTTTGAAGTTCCTATTGCTTAAATGAAAGGCATGGAAGCATTTTCATACTGTTGGAAATACTATCATGGTCTGATGCCACTCGATCAAGGCTGAATGGTCTCGCAATATGATCAAGTGGTCAGATTGGTTACATTGCTTTCTGGTTTAGTGAATGTCCTTGAAGATGTATTACTAATTACAATGTGGATCATAATATGTGCAGCCAGCTAAATGTGATCATTTTCTTTTGTATAATTCCTGGGACAGTGTAGCAAGCTTTTGACATGAATTGCTTAATCAAATTTCTCCCATCATGTAATGCAATTCAATTTTTAAGTAAGAGGTGAAAGATCTGGAGTTGACATGATTTTTTGCCAATGCCTTTTTTTAATTATATATTTTTATCCAATATAATTGAATTATGCTCTCTAGCATAGATTTTAACATTTAGTTATATGTTACTATATTTCATCCAGGTGTGGGAGGTGAAAGCTGCAGACCTGACCATTAGCCCTGTTCACCGTGCTGCAGTGGGCATAGTAGATACGGACAAGGTAATAGAAACGATGGCTGAAATGTCAGAAGTTTTCTTTTTCCACTCTGAAAATTCTGCTTGTTAACATTGTTTAATTGCTAATAGCAGCTGCATCTAACTTTTATTGGTGGCACTCTTAAATTTTCTATATAGGGCATATCTCTTCGGTTTCCACGTCTACTTCGAGTTCGGCTGGACAAAGCTCCTGAAGAGGCCTCATCATCTGAGCTGGTAAAGTTCAATCTTCATTCTCTGACAAACAGTATATGGTGGACGACTGAGAAAGAGTAATGAGGAATTGAAAATTGAATTATATGGTCTTGCTTTACTTGCTTGTTTTCAGGTTGCTGAAATGTACAATGCTCAAAAACACAATCACACAAACAACCAAGATGACAATGAAGATGATTGAGGGAAAAATTGTCTCACGCTGAACTATATATCTCAGTACTTTTACTGATGATTCCATGAGAGTAGACGTGCAGATGCAAATTCTTTGCCATACATAGGTCAGATGGCATAACTGCTTATTCAACATGATTGGAAATTCAGGGTAAAACGTGAAATGAGCTTATGGAGGGTCCAAACAAAAGAAATTTGCGCTGAAAGCATGTTAGCTGGATCATTTTTCAGGGGGTGGGGGGTACCTCGTTATTTAGTGCTTGTGTAGAATTGATTGTTCTTTTAACATGATACTGCAATTGTAAGGCTGCCAGCGTTGACGAAGAACGCTGTTTAATATTTTGCACATGCTAATGGCATCTCAAATTTTGAGTCCTCTTGTCAAATGATTTACCGGTGCACGTGTCTTGTAGAGCTTTATCTTTCGGTTTTCAATAGTAAAATGTTGTATTAGACTTTCTTTCTGACTGTACATGCTACTGTTTCAAATATCTAATTCTAACGCTTCAATGGACCTGACTCAAGATAAGATTGAATATTATTTTCATATTGGAATGATGGGCGATTCTTCTGGAAGCCAGATAAACTTGTTAGGGAAAAGGACTGGGTTCAATGATTGCCGTGAAGGAGACACTTAGGTGAGATCTGCCTAATGTTTTGAATGGGGTATGAGTATCTAGTCAAGCAAGTGATCATCTTCAAGCCTCCGCGTTCTGTGGAATAAGCCCTTGTAAACCGTTTTCACTTTGATCCTCTACTTAAGTTTTACCATTGGATCAAACTATTTTTCGTTCTTACTTAGTTACTTTTCTTTCTTTTTTTCCGGGGCGTGTTTTGAATTTTCGTTCTTGCATACTCGAAATGAACTCTCTTTGAATTTTCGGCTATTTGAATATAGGCGGCATTCTTGTTGGCCCGATGTATATAATGGGCCTGGGCTTTATTTCGTTAAAACTTTCGTTGTGATATTAACTTGTGTCCCCCGAGTTTTATTTTATTTGGCTTATTTCAGCCTACTATTGACTAAAGCTTCGACGTCTCTTGTCTTGTAAGGCATGAGTCGCGTCATTTGCGCAGCCAGTGTTCACCCTTCACAAGAGGCTTAGCGTGTTTTCTAGGACTTTCTTGTTGCCGTCACTGGCAAGGATGCATTGATGTAATGTTTATTAGCAGAGCTAGCTGGATGAAAGTAACGTCTTTGTTTTTAATTTTTTGCAACAAAGAAAGCAATTAGCTATACCTTGCGCTAACCACGCAAGAGAGGAATACAGGAAAGATCAGAGGTCAAAATGCCCTAAAATCTGAGGTTCTTCAATAGGAACAGTAGTATCATATGCTGGATAAGGCTAAGGCTTGGAAATTATGTGCAGTACGCACTATTTTTAACAAAGTTAATGCGGTCTCTGCATTTACCTGTCTGCTTTCAACAAGACTATCCATGTGACTTCCCTTTACCTGCCCTCGACACTGTCACCTTGATCAACATTACCACTGTTATAGAACATGGCTACACTTAGTATGAACTCTGATGCTGACACCCTTCTTTTAGATCTTGAAAAATTAAAAATTGGCACAAAAATAATGAAAATTTGTAACTAAAGGATTTTCTAATATCACAATCGCTCTGGAAGAGAAGTGGCAGACTATGAATTAGAGGGATAAGCAACTATCTGCGATAACAGTTGTTTAAAGATCGAAGACAACTTTTTTTAATCATTTTCTGGTGTACACAATAATATGATTCAACTTTTTATACCACAATTTGGTATTCTTGATTTGTTAGCAGAGTCTAATTTTACCTTTCATTTCCATGCTTTCATCGAACATCATGATAGGTAACACAGATATATAATAGTCAAAATTATCTGCTCTTAAAAAGAAGTATTTGGCGCGCTCTAAATGGAAATCATTAACAGATTAGAGAATGAGGAGACACATAAAAGAGGCTTTAGTGAATTAGAATTACAAAAGATAAGAAGTAATATAAGAAGTGAACAATGATAACTTGTCCAAGAAAAGCTTAATATAATGATACATCACACCAGCAATAGATCCTGATTCTGATTTGTGGGTCCACCTAACCCGACACGCAGAGCTCATGGCCGTCCCCCTTGGTGGTTGGCCACACCATTTCCCAATCCCAACGACTACAGACCCAATCACCCATCCTCTTAATTGTTGATGTGATCGCAGACACCAATCCCTCTCTCTCTCTCTCACACACACATTACTTACTGAACTACAGTATCTAAGTTACATTACAATTTTAGTGACCCTTTCACTTCACACAAAACAAAAGGAGAATGTGAATAGGGGAAAATGCCAAGGATAAATAAAGTCTTCATCCAAACATTACCATAAAGCCAAAATCAAGTATTTTTTTCCTTCTTGTTCTTCTGCTCCCACCAAGTTAAATCAGGATAACCTCTTCTGTCCACTGTACATATGCTAGATCAGTTCAACACCAGGTTGCTATTCCTAAGCTTTAAATCATATTAACTTTGTTGTAAAGATATAAATTAAAAACTGAATGGATAAATCAGACTTAGTAGTCAGTGGAGTAGAATCCTTTGGTACTTGGTCTGTGAGGGAGAATCAGAGCCCTCACAGAGAACCCTTTTTCTACTAAGTCTTGCACAGTTGGAGGGAGTATTGTTAACAAAAGAATCTTGGTGGAGGAGCTGTGGCGGTGAAGGAATGGTGACAGGGGGAATCTCAAAGGACTCAAGAGGTGGTGGTGGGTGTCTCCATTGAGGAAGTGGTCCCGCAAGGAGCAGGGTCTGAAGAAGAGGACCAGCTTTCATAACCGCTTGCAAAAGCTTTCCCTTTTCTGGCAACGGTTTATCTGGTGATATCAACTCAATCATTGACTCTGACAAGGGGTGTTGTGGCAAATGCTCCATCACTGGAGAGGAAACAATGCTTCCTTCACAATCTGATGATGAGAGGCCATTGTTGGAGGACTCAATTCCTCTCCTTGGTTCATCTTCAATGCTTGAAATCCCTGAAGCAGGAGCAGCATGCTGCTGCAAAACAAACTTCTCCAAAACAAGCCTTTGGCATTTCTCTTGTGCTTCATCTCTTTCTCTTATGACTTTGTTGAGCAGTTCTTTAAGGCTAAGTAGCTGATCATCCCTCTTTCTGAGTTCCTCTTGAACAGTGGCTCTTGTTTGTTCAAGCTCAAGAGTAGTGTACATAAGGGACTGCTTCAGCTCGTCCATTGATTGAGTCTATCATCAAAGTTACAACATTTTTATGCCTAAAACATGCAACTAAGCACTTCAATGAAAAATTAAAAAAGAAGATAAAAAGTAAGTACCTTTCCGTGGCAGTAGTAAGCCCAACTTAGAAGGGGGTTGCGTTGATTGTCCATGCTTAAAGGGAATGGAAGAAGAGGGAGAGTACAGAGTGTGAAAGAAGAAAAGAGTTAATGGTTTTAGATTTGGGGAATGATGGAAGGAGTTTTATAAGAAGCAGGGAGTCCAAGTAACTGTTGGTCTTTGTGGTTTTTGCTTTGCCTTCTAAACGGGGTTTGGAGAAAATCAAAAGCACAAAAAAGGCAAAAGCCAAACTGTGGCCAAATCCTACGGCCCCTATTATCCCTATGCCCTCTATCTATCTAATAATATCTCCTCGCTTCCCTCTTATATCTCACTATTCCATGTTACTTCCTAAGTTTCTATGCCATCCACGAAACTTAGGTGTATTCTTTTATTATTTTTAATAATTTACATAGTAAAATTTTATATTAAAAATACTTAAAAATTATATCTAATTTTTTTTAAATATGATATTTAATATTTATAGGATAAATAAATAATAAAAAATATATTATAATATTAAAATAAATTTAAAATTTTATTAATTTTAATTCAAGATAAAAAGTTAATAATAGTAAAATTTTATTATTAAAAAAATATTTATTATAATTTTATAATTTTAATATAATAATTTTATTGTATTTTTTTTATAAAAATTTTATATTTATAAATACTTAAATTTAGCCGTAAAATTTATTTGTAATATTACGGGTTTGAATTTTAAGATTGACTACTTTGATTGATTATAATTTTTTATTATTATTATTTTGGTAGGAGGATTTTTCTTAACATTTTTGTAGTGGGATTTACTTTTATAAGAAAAAAAAAAGAATAAATATATTTAGATACTGTTTAATTATCTTTATTATCAATTAATTTTTTATGTGAATTCTATTAATAAAAAATAAAATTAAATTAAATTATTTAATAAAATTTTATAAATTCATTTATTTATAAATAAAAATGTTTGAAAAATAAAAATATATTACTACAGACATATAATTTCTGGTCTTTAACTACATGTTTGCATTAAAATAAATTTGAACTTAATCTTTAAGTTAGAACGAAATTTGTATACTCAATAGTACAGATTATATTTGCTTGAAATCATCATCCATTTTTTATTGCAAACAATCATGCTGGCAAAAGAAAGATGTGACAATCAACTGTGAAATCCTTCCTTCTAATTAAGGATGGATGAATAGTAAGAGGATTTTTCTTATTTTCTAGTGGGATTACTTTTTTGAAAAAGCTGATAAATATCTTTTGATATTTTCTCAATATCATCTTTATTATCAAATTGTTTTTTATGTGAATTGTATTAATAAAAAATAAAGTTAAAATTCTTACGACATGTAAACTAAATATATATGAAAATCGAAAGATGTTATGGAGGAGAAAGATGTACAAGGATAAAAATACTTAAAATTTAATGATTTAGAACTTATATAAAGTTAATTATTTATCAAACCCTCCATCTAAAATTGATAGTATAAAATTTTAAATTGAATTTAACTATATGTATGAGTCAACTATTCCATGGTATGTTTTTAATAAGTTGTGTGATGGACTGAAAGCCAAAATGAGCAATAAAAAGAGGGGACAAGAAACCATTTATAACTTTTCTTTTTGTTTTAACGATCTCTGATCTCTTAGACAAGTCCTCTTCAGGTCTGGCAATTGGCTTTTCCAGCATCTTGCATACTATTTGATCAAGAAGAAGATCTAAGAAAGTGACCGTATAAAACAGTGATAACCTTTCAACTATTAAATAACAATAATAACAAAAAATGAAGAGCTGGACGTGACATGTCCCTTGAAAAGGCCAATTATACTCAAATGATCTTCCTTCCTTCTTTTCTTTCTTTTTGAAACATATTTTTTTGCATTTAACTTGAAAATTATGGATTGCAAGTCTCCCAAAATAATATATTCAATCCAAGGTGACAGATGACTCCATATTGGGAGGAGCTATCAAGATCTTTTAGATGTTAATTAATCATGTTGTATTAATTGTGTTATAATCTTAAATTAGCATCCCTGAATGCCAAAACATTAATTGTTTAGTATGGTAAAATTAAAATATAAAACCTCTTAATCCATACGAGATTAATTAGATTCACATGAATTTCTTTTTAATATCTTTATTTCAAATTTATCATTTCTTTCTTGAAATTAAGAATGTCATGATCGCGTTATTGCTCGCTTGATTTAACGTTATTGAAAATAGATTTACGTATATTTTAACGCTTTAATTATAATTTTTGTATTAAATTCATGTTTATTAACTTTTGAACGTGAATATAAATGCACACTTCATCATTTCAAATTTTGCTGGCTTTTGACTGAGATTTTGCAACAGTACTTTGAATTCATGGGCAACTATAGGCTACGATCCTTATTCCCCAATGAAGGTAAACTTTCCTTCTGTCTCGTTTTTTACATGTACATGTATAACCATTTTTGGCTAAGTGAACTTACCCTTTTCATTTTCATCACACATGGGCTGCGTCGTGAGGTAAATCCAAACATTTATTTTGTTTTTGTTGCATAATTTCAATTTGTTCATCGACAAGAGTGCCTCACTTTGATTTTGCTTCTTTATTTAAACTACAAGAGAATTTTTGAGATATTTTCATGATATGAAAACTTGTCCTATTTCCTTTAAATAAAAACAATCGTATTGCATAATTTGATTCATTTCATTGACTGTAATCTTTCAAAGACCCAATAGGTAACGTGACTAGATAGGTATATCGAGGTGGATCTTATCTTATAGAAACATGTTGATTAAGAAAACAGAAGATCGGTAGTGTGACAAAGTGTATTGAATTTATGTACTTTGTATGAAATTAACGTCTTGATAAAGGAAACTGGATATTTTGAACGTTTTTAAAACCCTTTTTAGTATCTTTTGATCCCAATCTAAGGGCACATTGAGCACTTAATCTGAAAGCATAAATTGTATAGCTATAATATATAAGCATTTAAAGAGTATCAAAACATATTTAATATATTTTTTTTTATCTCTTCTCTTATCATATCATATCACATATTATATCTATCATTTTTATCTTTTTTATTTCTTTTTCTCTCTGAATGTAAACAATGTCTACAAAATATTTTTCTAAATTGTACGATGACAGTCTATTCCTCTTCTTTCCAGCATAATCTTTTGCTATTTTATCTTAACTTTTCCTTATCAATATTACTCTGCATTCCCATATATCTGGCCTTCATCTTCATATAGTTAATCTTAGCAAAACCGGAATCAAAACTTTCACATAAAATAATCATAAAATATTAAAGCTTATACGAATCATATAATCATAAATTGAAATGCTAATCTTTGTCGTTGTTTCTTTTGTCACGGTGTTTGTTCTTTGAATTCTACTTTCTTGAAAATGTTACATGCCAAGTGTGTGGAGCATATTTTAATTTAAAGTTTATATTTGGGAAATCGTATTCGTATAATGCCGTGAGATAAACAAAATAAACCCATTATCGGTTTTGTAGATTGTACTTTCTCCATTGTGAAATCAACTAATCTCAATTATCCATCTGGCTCTTCAACATCTCGGAATTAGCAGTGCCTAGGGACACTTCATAATACGGTTAAACATCTCTACTATCTAAAGAGTTTATTTTAACATCAATGCAATAGAAAATTTTCACTTGGTCTCCACTCCCCAATATACCAAGAGATAATATTTTTTATATCTTCACAGTACCATAAGAGCTACAATTAATTAATTCCCAAGTTCCAACTACTCATGAGAGAAGTTTTCTCACTTTATCTCCAACAAGAAGGTAAGCTTGAAAATCTAACATCTTTTACGTGAGAACAATAAGATAAAACTTAGAAAAGATTTGATATATAGTAATGTAGATATCATGTGCCAATAGGATGCATATCTCTCTAACTTGTGCTTTGGTTGACGATTTCAGCAGTTTGAGCGTGTGGAAGATGCTTGATCCAAATTGACAAATTGAAGGGGTTTTGTGTGAACATTCCCAGCAGCATTGCGTGTGGAAGATGACTAATATTTAGAGTAAATTGATGTTTTCCAGTAATTAATTAAACTTTATAGCTAGTACAATCTTAAAGGTCAATTTGATATTCTTTTAACTTTTAAGAATTAGAATTTCGAGAGAATTCTTGTTTGCTAGCTTGAATTTATAAACAAATGGTTTCCCGTTGAAAAACCAACTCGCCGGTCTTCTCTTCATATTTGCCCATTATATCTCTTTCATCATGGGAATGACTTTGATTTTTCTACACGAGCATGTCGGGTATCAAAAACTAGAAGCAGAAACCCACTTTACCAATTCAAATATGATTCTTTTTTTATCAAATTTTCACACGATTCCTTGTTAACATGATTTTATTTGAATTGAGTAAGGTACGTTCTTAATTTGATTATGAAATACAATGTCATGAGTTTCATAATTCTATTAATAAACACTTATAAAAAAATTAGAATAATAAAATAAATTAAAAATAGAATAATTCTATTAAAAGCTCATTTATCTAATTGTTTCTTAAACACCTGCAAACTTTTTTCAGAACTTGATATTTTTAAGACTTTTCTTTTACCATTGAAAACTCTCATAAGACATAAACTAATCAAAATGTAGAAAAAGGACATCATTAAGTGAAAGGTGTCAGTTGTCAGTTTATTGTTTATTGTGACTCATTCTCAACAACTCTTATCTTTGATTTCTTAAAATACTCTTAATTAAAATATGTCTTGTGTTATATTTAGATTTGTTGTCACACCTACACCGTAAATCTGAAATTGATAATTATAGTAATTGATATTGAATATAAATATTTTTTATGTTTTTTATTTTATTTTTCAGACTAAAATAGAATTTAATTATTTTATTATATATATAATTTATATTCATTTTAATTTATTTTTAATAATAAAAGTATTTGAGTTTAGTTTTAAAATACAAGGAATAATAATTTCAACAAAAGATAAAAAGTATTGTTTTTAAATTAATTTAATTTGCGGTGAATTTAAAGTTAAAAAATCTAACTATTTTGTCAACTATAAATTAATTTGGTTCTTGAATGTTTGAATAAAATCATTTTAAAATTATTTTTTCTAATTATACATAATTTTAATTTGGTCGGTATATCCAGTAATATTTTTTGTATGTGGTA